ATTTATTCTTTATTTATAATAAACTTTACCTTTCTTTTACTACCTTTCCTCTTAGCTTACTTATCCTTAAAGACTATTACTATATACTTAGTTATAGCTTTTATTATATTTATTAGGTAACTAGCTAGTAGGTCTAGTTATTTTAGTATATATATATTTCTAGCTAGCTTATTTTATTAGGAGGTAGATATAGGCCTATATAGTATTATTACTAGTAGAGTTATTAGTCTAGAAATATTAAAGGATAGAGGGATAATTTTTATAGGGGATAAGATACTTAGTAGTAAATTATATACTATAGGTATAGAAGGTATATATAAGAAATATATAGGTATAGAAGTAGTAAGTAGGCTCTTTAAGCTTAGTGTTTTATATAGCTAATTATATATACTATTACTTCTATCTATACCTTTATCTAAGTCTATATTCTTTTCTTCTACCTTATTATACCTATCTATATTAATATACCTATTTATTAAATTATTATTATACTATTTAGGTTTAAGTATAGCTATATTACCTTTAGTAGAGTATATTAGGTTAATATAGCTAGGTTATAAGAGGCTTATCTAGTAATTATAATACTTATTATTATCTTTAATATTCTTTTAAAGCTATATAGTAAATAAGGCTTTAAAGTATAGACTTTATAGTTTATAGGTAATTAGGTAATTATATAGCCTAGCTTAGTTATAAAGATAGTTAAAAAGGTATTTTATAAAATCTTAATATACTCTCTCTTCTTAGCTACCTTAATCTAGATAATATTCTTTTAATAAAGTATTAATATCCTACTATACTTTAGTTATTAGGATATATTCTTTTATAATTTATAGTAGCCCCCTTTAAGGCAATCTAGAGGTAAAATACTAATAATAAGTATTAATATTAATAATACTAGGTATTAGCTTTTCTAGGTAGGGCTATATATTTAGATCCTATAGGGTAGTAATATAAAGTAAAGTATATTTAAAGACTTTATACTATAGAAGTATACTAGCTATTTTAGCTAAGCTATACTCCTTATCTAGATAAAAAGGTTAAATATTAAGTTTTATAGTATAGCTATTAATAAACTATTATATTATATAGTATAGACTATATACTAGGGATTCCCTAATCTTAAGCTTTTAATTATTACTTTTATTATAAACTTAATTATCTAAAGTACCTATTTACTAGGTTATAGCTATTATAACTTACTAGAGTATATATAGTTACTTTTAATTTAGTTTTATTATTAATACTAGGTTAAGAAATAGTAGGTTAGGGTTCTTAGTAAGTTTAATATATATATTATAGAACTCCTTATTAGTTAAGGGTAATAATAACTTTTAAGATTAAATTATCTTTTATTAAATATTATTTATTTTAGATTTTAGGTAGAATAGTTTTTATATATATATATTATAATCTAGGTCTTATTATAGAATAGTAGTAAGGAGCTCCTAATCTTATAGTAGGATATTTATTATCTTATTAAGTATATATAGTATAGTAGAGATATAGCAAAATTAGGTAAAGAAAAACTACTAATTATTAGTATTATACTAAATATCCTAATTATAATAGCTATATTATAGCTATATAAAATATATATATATTAAGGTTATAATATACCTTATTAACTCTTTAAGTAATTATCTTAACTTATTAAAGTATATTAAATAACTACTTACCTAATACTATTCTATACTACTTAGTTATAATATTATACTAACGTTTATTTCCTTATATAGTTACTAGCTACTTTAGCTTATACTTATCTTACTAACTAAGATCTAGCTCTATAGCTATTACCTTTAATATTATTAAGTAGTTATCCTTAAATCTAAGTAGTTTATTTTTTAATATAGTAATAGCTTATATCTATATATTACTATATATATTAGGTTTACTAATCTAGCTATAGTTTATTTAGATTTAATAGTCTTATTAATCTAATAGTAACTCTAGAGTATAATTATTAGCTTTTATTCTATATAGGTAATATAGTTTATATATACTATAAGCTATAATAAACTATAGGTAAATATCTTATATATCTATTATAGGTTATTCTTCTCTTAATACTATACTTTAGCCTACTCTATAAATACTAATAGGTAATATTAGCTATTAATAATCTTAAACTTAATATTACTATTAACTTTAAACTAGTTACTAAAGTTATATAGCTCTTAGGATTATACCCCTCTCCTTAGGCTAATATATATATATATCTTCTTTAGATTTATAATAGAATAAACTACTTATATATAGTTAGGGGTAACTATATAGTTTAGTCTATAGTTCTTAATAAAAGCTTTTATTAATATCTTAATATATTAAAGGTTAATAAGATAGTTTTTACTATCCCTCTATTTTATAGTAAGGGTATATACTAGTATATAAGCTATTATATTATACTATAAGGGTAGCTTTAAAAGCTTTTAAGGTATTTCCTTTACTCTCTTAGTTTAGTTACTCTTACTTAAAGTAGCTTTCCTCTTATATATAACTCCTACTATACTCTATACTACTAATATAATACTAAAATATTAAAGTATATAGGTAAACTAATTATAATATATAACTATATAGTTCTTATAGAATAAGCTTATAATAAATAATCCTATCTACCTATTTACTTATAATACTAATAAATAGTTTTCTAATCTAGTTACTTTTAAAATATTTTACCTTTAAAAAAGATAGTAGTTAAGTATTTATTACTACTATATAAAGAATATCTCTTATTTTTCTAATATACTTTCTAATATATAGATCTTATTCTATTAAGTAATATACTAGAATAAAACTAGCCTAGACTACTCTTATAGTACTAATACTATTACTCTTATTTATAATATAGCTAAAACCTTAATATTATAAAATAAAGTAAAAAGTATATAATAACTATACTAATAACTTATTCTTTAATTATATATATTATTCCTATTACTATATACTATTCTTAACTTAGCTAGTAATATATACTATAAATATAGAGTAAAGAGGTTTATAAGCCTAGTAATATTATTATATAACTATTTAAAGTAAGTATTTAAAACTAAATCTAAAAATATAGTAAAGATATAGGAATTATCTAGACCTTAAAAAGTTAATATTATATTAACTTAAATTTACTAATAGAAAAGGGGGAAATAAAGATATTTAAAAAATAAAGCCCTTATTACCCCTCTAGAAAAGAATATTACCTCCTTAGTATTTAGTTTCTTTACTACCTTTAATATAATATTATTAGTATATTAATTCTAACTAAATACTTTAAAGAATAGATATATTAAAAGTTTAATAAGTTTATAGATAAGTATACTAAATAGTATTACCTATTAGCACTATATATAAGCTTATAAGCTTTAAGGTAGTATTATATTTAAAATATAGTTACTATATAGGGGTAGATTTTTCTATATAAGATATATTATATATCTTTATTTCTATAGTTATTATTTTATTCTATTTTAAAATATATATTATATAATTACCTTTATTATTATATATACTTAATAAACCTAGAATACTATCTTTATTATATAATAACTCTTATCTATAAATAACTTTAATATAAATACCTATATTAGTTTATAAATAACTTTAATATAAATACCTAAGCTAGTCTATAAATAACTTTAATATAAACGCTTAGGCTAGTCTATAAATAACTTTAATATAAATATCTAGGCTAATATAAAAACCTAGGCTTATTTATAAATAACTTTAATATAAACACCTAAGATTATCTACTAGTAAATAACTTTAACTTTAACTTAAGATTATTTATTAGTAAATAACTTTAACTTTAATACCTAGGCTAATATAAACACCTAAACTAGTCTATAAATAACTTTAATATAAATATCTAGGTTAGTCTATAAATAACTTTAATATAAACGCCTAGGCTAATATAAATATCTAGGCTAGTCTATAGATAACTTTAATATAAATACTTAAGATTATCTATTAGTAGATAACTTTAGCTTTAATACTTAAGTTTATCTACTAGTAAATAACTTTAAGTTTATCTACTAGTAAATAACTTTAGCTTAACTTAGGCTTATCTAC